TTCCTTTAGAAATATTATTGCATTGACAGTGCATATGGTCACCCAAGAGCTCTGATGGAGATGTACAATGAGACAACCGCTGTTTTCGTGCCTAATACAACATCCATTCCGCAGCCCATGGATCAAGGAATAATTTTGACTTTCAAATCTTTTAATTTAAAAATACATTTTTGGGAGCATCTGGGTGGCTCAGTTGGTTAAGTGTCCGACTCTTGATTTCAGCTCAGGTCATGATTTCAGGGTGGTAAGATCGAGCCCCAAGTCAGGCACCCCGTCACAGGGAGTCTATTTGGATTCCCTCTCTCCCTCTGCCCCTGTGTCCCCTCGCCCTACACTCTCTCCCTCTCTAAAATAAATAAATCTTTAAAAATAAATAAATAGGGGTGACTGGGTGGCTCAGTTGGTTAAGTGACTGCCTTTGGCTAAGGTCGGGGTCCCAGGGTCCTCGGACTGAGCCCCACATCAGGCTCTCTGCTCAGCGGGGAGCCTGCTTCTCCCTCTGCCTCTCCCCCTGCTTGTGCTCTCTCTCTGTCAGATAAATAAATAAAATCTTTAAAAAACATGTAAATAAATAAATAAATAAGGTAAAAATACATTTTTGTAAGGCTATATCTACCATAGATAGTGGTTCTTCCAATGGAATTCAGCAAACTGAAAACCTTTGGGAAAGGATTTGCCATTCTAGATGGCATTAAGAACATTCATGATTCATGGGAAGAGGTCAAAATAGCAATAGTATCAGGAGTTTGGAGGAAGTTGATTCGAACCCTCACAGATGACTTTGAGGGGTTGAGGATTTCAGTGGAGGAAGTCATTGCAGATGTGCTGGAAACAGCAAGAGAACCAGCATTAGAATGGAGCATAAAGATGTAACTGCAATGCTGCAAACTCATGATCAAACCTGAATGGATGAGGAGTTGTTTCTTATAGATGAGCAAGGAAAGTGGCTTCTTGAGAAGGAATCTACTCCTGGTGAAGATGCTATGGAGATTGTTGAAATGACAACAAAGGATTTAGAAATTACATAAATTTGGTTGCTAGAGCAGAGGCAGATTTTGAAAAGACTAATTCCAATTGTGAAAGAAGGTCTACTCTGGGTAAAATGTTATCAAATAGCATTGCATGCCACAGAGAAACCATTCATGAAAGGAAGAGTCAATCAATGCAGCAAAGTTGCATTCTAATTTCTGTCTTAAATCGCCAAAGGGACGCCTGGGTGGCTCAGTCAGTTAAGCAACTGCCTTCAGCTCAGGTCATGATACCAGGGTCCTGTGATCGAGTCCCGCACCATATCAGGCTCCTTGCTCGGTGGGGAGCCAGCCTGCTTCTCCCTCTGCCTGCTGCTCCCCCTGCTTGTGTGTTCTCTCTCTCTCTCTCTCTGACAAATAAATAAATAAATAAATAAATAAATAAATAAATAAATACTCTTAAAAAGGGGGGGGGGAGAAATTGCCACAGCCACCCCAAGCTTCAGCAACCACCACCCTGATCAGCCAGCAGCCATCAACACTAATGTGAGCAACAAAAGATTACAACTCGCAGAAAGCTCAGATTATAGTTAGCATGTTTTAGCAATAAAGTATTTAAAGTATAATTGCACATTTAATAGACTACAGTATTGTGTAAACATAACTTTTATACACACTGGGAAACCAAAACTTCATCTGACTTGCCTTATTACAGTGGTCTGGAATCGAACCTACAATATCTGCAAGGTATGCCTGTATGTATTGTCAGCATCATTTATTAAAAAGACTGTTCTTTCCCCATTGAACTGTGTTGGACCCTCGTCAAAAACCAAATGACCTTAAATGCAAATTCTCAAACTCTCAACCCTGTCCCATCAATATACATGCCCATCTTATGTCAGTAATATACTGTCTTGATACTGTAGCTTTATCGTAAATTCTGAAATTAGGAAGTGTGAGTCCTCCAATTTTTTTTTTCTTTTTAAAACTGTTTTGGCTATTCTGGGTCACATGAATTTCCACATGAACTATAGAATTACGTTGCCAATTTCTGTAAAAAAGGCACTAAGGTTTTGATATGGATTGCATTAAATTTGATTAGTTTGGGGAAAACTGCCATGTTATATGCTGAATTATGTCCTCCAAAAAGATATGTTGAAATCCTAATCCCCAATACCTCTGAATGTGACCATATTTAGAAACAGGGTCTTTGCAGATGTAATCAAATTAAAAGGAAGTCATGCTGGATTAGGATGGACCCTAAATCCAATGAGTGGTGTCCTTATAAGAAGGTCATATGAAATCAGCTTTGGTCATTTTCTATGTAAAAGATTTTAGAATTCCCATGAGCTCAATTAACTTCTTTCTATGTTTTCTCAGGGTTCTTTCCTCATGGATGGTTAAGTTACAAATATTGACTTGACCAAAACAAAATAGTGGAGTTAGGGGATTGTTTATGTGGCTCTCAGTCTCAAATGATTTTCTACAACCGGCTGAGAATGACCAATCACAGACTGATTTGAATGCATTTGAAAATAAAATCTGTACCCAGAAAAAAAAAAAGGAGGTCATGTGAAGACATCGGGACCCACAGAGTCACAGAGGAGAAGGTCATGTGAAGACAGAGGCAGAGAAATGACTGATGCATCTGTAAGCCAAGGAACACCAAGGATCACCAACAACCAGCAGAAGTTAGGAGAAGCATAGAACAGATTCTCCCTCAGAGCCTCCACAAGGAACCAATCTCACCAACACCTTGACTTTGGACTTATAGCCTTCCAAAACTGTGAAAGAATAAAGTGCTGTTGTTTAAGCCACCCAGTCTGTGGCAATTTGTTATGGCAACCCTAGGATACTAAAAACACCATCTGAACAATATCAGATCTTCTGATCCATAAACATGAGATGTCTTTCCATTTATTTAGGTCTTCCTCAATTTCCTTCAACAATGTTTTGTAGTTTGCAGTGTACAAGTCTTGTACTTTTTTTTTTTTTTTTTTAAATAATCTCTACAGGGGCACCTGGGTGGCTCAGCTGGTGAAGCATCTGCCTTAAGGCTCGATCATGATCCCAGAGTCCCGGGATTGAGCTCCATATCAGGCTCCCTGCTCAGCAGGGAGTCTGCTTCTCCCTCTGCCCCTCACCTGGCTCTTGCTCTCTCTCAAATAAATAAAATCTTAAAAAAAAAAAAAAAAAGTCTCTATATCCAATATGGGGCTTGAACTCACCACCAAAAGATCAAGAGTCACATGTTCTACTAACTGAGCCACCCAGGCTCCCCAAGTCTTGAACTTCTTGGGCTAAACTGATTCTTAAGTATATTTTTTTGTGATGCTACTATAAATGAAACTGTTTTCTTAATTTCATTTTCAAACTGCTCATTGCTAGTCTACAAAAATACAGTTGACTTTTCTACATTGATCTTGTATCCTGCAACTTTGCTGCTCACTTATTAGTTCTAATAGTTTTTTGTGAATTCCTTAGGTTTTTCTATATACAAGATCATGTCACCTGTGAACGAAGATGGTTTAACTCCTTCTTTTCTCTTACTTCCTCCTTTTATTTCTTTTTCTTGCCTAATTGTCCTGGCTAGACCCTCTAGAACAATGTTGAATAAAAGTGGGGGCAGACATTTTTATTTTGCTCCTGTTCTTAAGGGAAAAGCATTTAGTCTCTCACCAACTGGGTATGATGTTAGCTGTGGGTTTTCATAGACGCCCTTTACCGGGCTGAAGAAGTTCCTTTCTGTTACTACTTTATTTAGTGTTTTTATCATGAAAGGGAGTTGGATTTGGCAAATGTTTTTCCCCATCTTTTGGTATGATCACATGTATCCTTAAGATCTGAACACAATTAGAGCTAATTCTACGCTCTGGTAAATAAAACTTAATGTTAATTGTTCTCATCTATATATAATTCCTCCCCTAAAGAACCTCAACGACTTAGTTTCTTTATGTGTATGTCAGTAATAAAGCTTTGACAATTATTCAATCGTCTTTTTTTTTTTAAATACCGCTTTTTCTTTAAATAGAAAGAAAAAGCAGCTTTTTCTTTAAAATACAACCGTATCAGTAAATTGAATATATTTTAGCCCTTAAGAGCAAATAAATAAAAGGCTCCAAGAAACTTGCAACCTAGAGGTAAAATAAATCACCATTTTCATATATAACAGGAGACCTAAACAGAAGAATAGCATATGCATACACCAGGGAGAGTGGAATATGAGAGAAGGTTCCTAAAACACGTAAACTCAGTATTTATAGGATGCAGAGGAGTTAATCCAGACAAAGAAGGAGAAAAAGATATTGCACATAGAGGAAATTATATGTGCAAAGGTACAGAGTGAGGAAATGTATGCAATTCTATGTTACTAATAAGGACTGGTATATGTTGGGGCGCCTGGGTGGCTCAGTCGGTTAAGCGTCTGCCTTCGGCTCACGTCATGATCCCAGGGTTCTGGGATTGAGCCCCGCATCGGGCTCCCTGCTCGGCCGGGAGCCTGCTTCTCCCTCTCCCTCTGCCCCCACCCTCCCCCACTTGTGATCTCTCTCTCTCTCTAATAAATAAAATCTTTAAAAGAAAAAGAGAAAAAAAAAGGACTGGTATATGCACACATGTCTGTGGCAAGAAAAAGCTATGTTACCAAGAGATGACTCTCTAGAGACACCGGCCAGCGTTCCAATTTTATTCTTCTCATTCAGGGTAAACTGATACAGTCCATTGTGAACAAAGAACTTTTTAGCTATATTTAATCTAATACTGATACAATGTATTCTGCTCCAGCAGGAAAAAAAAAAAAAGTACACAGAATATTGTGTCATAAATAGATTCATATAAATTCACATACATACCACACACACACTCCTTTTCATTTGTTCCATTCCACTTTACCAACATATTCTGGATTTTTATCTACTAATAGCCAGCTTTAAGGAGTATTTGATTACAGCACATTATTTGCTTTCTCGAAGGCTCTTTCCTCTATATACTAACTTTATTTGCCATTACTAAAAATTAAGAAATATTACCAACCTATTGCCACTTGGATACTGTACTACAATGTCATGATCTTCATCAATGCCACAAACAGTTCCAGTTGTAGTTAAAGTTTCAAACATGCCATCAGTCCATCCTCCATGACCATGCTGCAAAGACTGTACAATTTCTAGGTCAAGATCTATATTTACCAGGTCACCAATCTGCAATCCACCAGGATTCCTGTTGCCATTTTGTTCACCTGTAATTACAGAGGGAGTTGACAAAGGAAAAGGAAAACCACAACAGCATTAGGCAACTGCATTATTTTTAAATAAAAACAAGCTCTAGATATTTTAATCTTAACCTAATCTTAAAATGTTTTGAGAATATACTGTAAGTACCAGATTCTGGAGCTAGAGAACATCAAAAATAAGAAAGAAAACAATCACAAGACTCACAAATTGAAATAATGTGATGATTTATAACAACTGAACAAGAGCAGAATCTATTAGACTATGCAACCCTTTATCAAAGTATAAAGTTCTGGGTTTTGAAAATATTCATTTTTCTGCCTGGATGACTTGTTGACTAACCCTGCAATAACTACACTACAATTACACAGTTATTGAGGTTCAATAACTAACTATAGCCACAATAACTAGCTAGAGAATATGAAAGAGAACCTTGAAATTATTTTCTTCTCTGAACTACTTAGTACTATTTTTTACCAAATGGCCCTTGTGATTTTTTTCCTAAGGAAATGTCCTAAGGAACATTTTTAAATATTTAAAAGCCCATTCCCTAGATTATTTTCAAAGCTAGTTCTGGGACAAAGGATTCATGATCATAAAACACCATGATGATGGATCCAAAATATGTATGTTGATTCTGAACTTTTCCTATGAAGGCAAGACATAAAACAAGAAAGTTTCTGAGAGCAAGAAAAAGGGATGATCTTGTCAAAAATATAAGTATTTCTTCTACATTCTCCTTTAAAAAAAAAAAATAAGGGTATGCTGTAAGAAAACAGCACTTTTTGGCCAAAAGGGAAATAAAATTATTTAAAAAGAGGAACACAGAGTTCATATGAAAAGGCAAGCATTCACAGACTAAAGCCTTAATTAGAAGAATGTGGTAAATATTTACTGTGGCAGCAATAAAGAATCTATAATATGAAGATAATTTTGTTTTCTTACCCTTTTTTATTTTAATGACACATGAAAAATTATATTTATTATATAACCTTAATGTTCTATTTTTGTATTTAGAAGGCAATTTTACAAAAATTCTAAGGAATTTATAAGCATTAAATTGTCAGAATCTATCATCAATATGTAAGAGATACTGAAAGTCTAACAAAATTTTTCAACATGTTTATAACTAAAAGACAAAGGTTTCAAATATATTATGACATATAAGTGGTATATCAATTCTCAAGACATGACAACTTTTTGAGAGTCTAAATAAATAAAAAAGAACACATACTTTAAAAACCAAAATAAGGGGTGCCTGGGTGGCTCACTCATTAAGCATCTGCCTTCGGCATGATCCCAGGGTCCTGGGATTGAGCCCCGCATTGGGCTCCCTGCTCAGCCGGAAGCCTGCTTCTCCCTCTCCCACTCCCCCTGCTTGTGTTCCCGCTCTCGCTGTCTCTCTCTCTGTCAAATAAAATTTTTTTTAAAAATCTAAAAATAAATAAGTAAAAATAAAATAAAATGGATGACCAGTGAGAAAATAATTTTCAAAAAAATAATAATAAAATAAAACCCCAAAAGTATCTCCTTAAATAACTTTTTTAAAACCCAACTTAAACATTTTCTGATTCCATGAACTCTGACACACTATTTAGTAATTTTCACTAGTCTGCTGACTCACCTAGCACAGGGCAGTGATCTCTGTAGAAAGAACCTCCTTTGGCATCCTGGACACACTTGAGATCAGACTAAGAAGAAAAGAAACCAGAAAAATCACGCTTGAAAACTTCAAGTATAGCTCAGTACCTAAAATAGGCAAAAATGTTCATCATTCAGAACATACCCTCAGCAAAAGTTAAGAATAGCTCTAGGTTAACAGTCACACTAAACACTACTTTCAAAAGCACCCATCAAAAATTAAAAGACTGATCTTCAGATAGGTCATACTCATTTACTTTTAGCTTTCCTTGAAAGTTCAAAATTAAAATGCCTCGATCTTTACCATTAAAATATTTTCAAAAACACATGACCACAACAAATACCTAGTATTTAAAATGTACATAACATATTCCATTTTAAAGATACTTTTACAAAAAAAAAAAAAAGAGCACAACTCATTTGTTCTTTTCAATCAATTTTATGACATACACAAGGCAGGTATTAACTAAGTTAATAAAGAAAATTATCCAAAACCAAACAGCCAGAAAATAGAAAAGGATAGGACCTAATCCAGTCTTCTGGTTCCTTAGCCAGTTAATTTTCCTATTTATGTAAACTTTAGTCCTTACTTCATAACTTGGTTAACTCAAGTTCCTTTCCATTTAGTTTTTATAAGAAAACAAATTAAGTATCTGAATGGGGAGGCAGTTGTGATATAATCAAAAGTATAGAAAATGTGAACTTAGAAGAGCAAACTTGGGAGTTACTATAAAAATTCAGATTTACTTAAAAGTGCCTAATAGTATATAGGGGATCGGTATATACTTACTGTATTAAGGAAAGGAGCTCCTTTACACACACACACACACACACACACACATACACACACACAATTCAACTCTCTTTTTTATAGCCTCCTTTGCCACTACAGCATCACATTTAGCTCAGTCCTAGCCAAAGAGACAGAGGGGTCAAATTGTTTTAATGTGATACTTTAACCCAGCAATTCCACTTCTAGGAATCTATCCTAAAAAAATACACCCATAAACGTGCAAAGATACATGTACAAGGATGCTTACTGAAACAATGCTTGCAACAATTTAAAAAAACAAACAAACCCAGATACCATCAACAGAAACCTTATTAAATAATGGCATAACCATAAAGAGGAGTACTACTCAGCCATCAAAAATGATCAATCTATAGATGTATACCACTCATTAAATACCTCTGCACATATACCTAAGGCTTCATCTGAAGCAAGTTAATAATCAGAATCCCCAAAAAATCCACAATTTAAAAACAGGAGGAGGCATAAAAATACTAATGAAAAACTGATAACTAATGCTATATACTAGTATTAAAATTGGCAAATCAAGTATTTGTTTAGATTCACATTGTTGGCTTTTTAATTTATCCCATATAAACTTATTCCATATAAATGGAATAAATTAAAAGCAAGGGGACAGTGGGATATTTTCTCCCCTCCTACCAAGGGGCATAAAACAGTTGGGAAAAAACAAAATTTAAAGAATTTTTTCAAGGAGGAATATATTCAAGATGGAAAAGATGTAAAAGGCATTAATATTTTGGTATTAATATTTAGTTGTACTCCATAAATTAAATAGCTGAGGTCAACATTTGAACAGTGATCCATGAAATGCAGAAATATAGGGCAATCCATTGAATAAACCACCATTATTTTCCTAAGCACGTAATTTAAGTGTTTTTAGGTCAATCATTTTTTTTCCACCGATTTTACTTATTTTTTTAAATTAACATATAATGTATTATTTGTTTCAGGGGTACAGGTCTGTGATTCATCAGTCTTACACAACACCCAGTGCTCACCACAACACATACCCTCCCCAACGTCCATCACCCAGCCACCTCATCCCCCTACCCACCTCCCCTCCAGCAACCGTCTGTTTCCTAAGATTAAGAGTCTCTTATGGTTTGTCTCCCTCTCCAGTTCCGTTGTTTTATTTTTCCTTCACTTCCCCTATGATCCTCTGTCTTGTTTCTTAAATTCTGCATATCAGTGAGATCATATGATAATTGTCTTTCTCTGATTAACTTATTTCGCTTAGCATAATACCCTCTAGGTTCCATCCACGTGGTTGCAAATGGCAAGATTTCATTTTTTGATGGCTGCATAATATTCCATTGTATATATATGTGTGTGTGTGTGTGTATATATATGTGTGTGTGTCACATCTTCTTTATCCATTCATCTGTCAATGAACATCTGGGCTCTTTCCATAGTTTGGCTATTGTGGACATTCCTGCTATAAACAGTGGGGTTCAGGTGCCCCTTCGGATCACTACATTTGTATCTTTGGGGTAAATACTCAGTAGTACAATTGCTGGGTCATAGGGTAGCTCCGTTTTCAACTTTTTGAGGAACCTCCATACTGTTTTCCAGAGTGGCTACACCAGCTTGCATTCCCAAGATCAAACATTTTCAATTACCAACACTACTCTTTAAAAATAGAAGGGAAAAAAATCTCCTTAAAAACAACTTTAACACCTACTATAATTTATACTTTTATTAGCTACCAGAGCTAGAATACGAATATCCTATAAAAACCTCATTATTATACTATACTCGGTGCCCATGCTGAGGAGCAGCCTTACAGATGATTCTAAAACTTTTTGATAGATTTTAGTAAATAAGCCCCTAACTCAGATTTATAAGGGGATCAGCTCTACACAATCAACATATAGTAAGCTACCCAAATATTAACTGAGGACAAAATCATATTTACTATTAAATAGCTTAAGCAAATGTACTAAAAATATAAAGTTTATTACATCCTCACTTTTCAGATTTTCTTCCTACAGCAAATTCATGATTCAGATGGCTGTATTCTGATAAAATATGACAAAAGAAAAAAAAAAGGAATACAATAGGAGCTACTTTTATTTCCCTTCTTTCATCTATCCAATATTTTTATCTTTTGTGATTCTTACTACTCACCATGCCCTCAAAGCCAACTCTGTAAAGGTTCTTAGCACCATTATCCCAGAGAACATATGCTGCACTATGTGGGCTTGATGCACTCCAGTCCTGGATTTCTGTTACCTAAGAGAATTGTCAGAGAAAACAATGTTTTAAAAGGGGAGGGGAGAGGATAGTTCTCTTAATTATATTTAAAATCTCACATATCATTTCAGCTATCATCCTCTTTAACAGGACCATAAAAAATATTTACATAAGTCACTTCTAACATATAACGCAATTATAACTAGAGACATATTTCCAGAATTATAAGATAATTTCTAAAATCATTACAGAAATTTTGAATTAGGAGACTTAGTGATTACAGTAATAGATTACCAGAAAATACATAACTCAATACAAAATTTTATATTTTGATTCTTAAAGGGTTCCCTTTAAGAACAGTGTATTATTTTAAACCCATTATTCATTACAAAATTGAAAATCTTTGACCAGATACCCAGAATGATTCAAGATAAACATGCTCTCCAGTGAGCTAAAAGCTGAGAAGCACAAGGCTCATTGCCAATGTTTAAGGAAGACGAGCTGACATTGCTCCTCCAGCACTATATCCTTCAGCTGCCCCAAAAGGCAAGCCATCTAAGCTAAAACACTATACCTCCAGTGGAAACCCAGACACAATCTCTAGGCCCCACATCCAACAGGCTGATTCATAAGCTCTTCTGACATTAAAAAAAAAAAAAAAAAAACCACCACCACCAACTGGGGTTGCTACTGCTTAAGGGCCAAGAATCAACTGCATAAAAATAATACAAAATGAGCACTGAACTGGGTATTCTCAAGTAAACCAGTCTATAGCTAAGAATGGGGAGCTGCACATGTGCAACTCATTACTTTTCTCCATCCTGACACATATAATCACCACCCTCCTTTACAGTTACTTAGAATGCCAGGCTGATGTTAAATATAATTTTTAAAGCATGACCTTAAAATATAATTTTAAAGCGTAACCTATTGAAAAAAAGATATATAATAACTCTTCCTTGTTTTTACCCTGTACTAAAAAAAAATCATTTTGTAAGCTACGTGTTTTGAGGCTTTTGTAAAGATAAAAAGGCTTTAAGATTTAATCAAACATTTGAGAAATATTTTAAATTGTTATTATATAAGTCTACTTAGTTTTAATTTTGAAATAAATCATACATTATAAAAAATATAACATATATAAACTTTAAAAAATAAAAAATGAAATGAATACCAGCCTATGAAAAAGAACATCACCAGTACTTTTCAAGTCCACTGTGTGCCTCCCATCAAGCCCATTCTCCTGGCCTCCCAACAGAGGTAACTACCACCTTGAATTTACAGCCATCACCGCACTGCTTTACTTTATGATCTGCACAACTAACCACTGTATAACATTATAAAGCAACAACTTCTAACACTCTAAAATGAAATATGCGATCTTTAGTAAAACATTCCTTCTGATTATAAAACATTCTACTTCGTTTGTTTTAAAAACGCAATGCTAGGGGGGCACCTGAGTGGCTTAGTCGGTTAGGCATCTGCCTTCAGCTCAGGTCGTGATCCCAGGGTCCTGGGATCAAACCTGCCACTTCCCCTACTTGTGCTATCTCTCTCTCCCTCTCTCTAATAAATAAATGAAATCTTATAAAAATAAAAAGAATACACTACACATTTCCATGGTGTCTTTGCATCATGTCTGCCAAATACTACACTTGACATGTTTATTTTTGTGTATGAACTTTGTTATCACCATGCAAATCATGGGACATGTTGGCATGTGGTAGGCCAAAGACTGTCAGTGCTGCAAGCTCAGCCTGGGCTGGTATGTACCCTTAATATAGCTCATACTGGCCATTTAGTTGAGCACACGCCGTAATGGCAGTGGGGTGAGAATTCTGAGCGTCACACACAGGTTAAAAAAAAAAATAGTTAAGAAAAGAAGACACTACACACATTTATGTGGGTTAACCAGGGGATTGGGACACAGCAGCCTGCACTGAAGGGAAAAAGGGACTTTTTCTTCACACGTTCTTCATATACACACTTGGGCAAAAATAAAAGTCAGATAATAAAAATCACATTTAATCTCAAACATGTTCTTAGACTTATTATATTAAATTCCCTTACTCAGTCACATGTACAAGCTGGTTTCATTTATTTTTCCTCATTATGTTCTTAAAATGCAACATGGATTAAATCATAACAAACCAAAAATGTAATTCTGATGACTCAAAGCTTCAAAAATGCCTACTTACTATGCCCCCAAAAAGTGCCAAAATAACAGAAACTCAGAAAGTTCCATTTATGATGTGGCTTCAGACTTCAAAACCTACCTTCAAAAGCTGATGAAAAAATAACTTCCAACCCTCTGACCATATAATTATGAGGAAGAATAAAAAGCTAAAAAAAAATTTAGAATGAAAATATTAAAAATGTACTTCTCGAGGCACCTGGGTGACTCAGTCGTTGGGTGTCTGCCTTCGGCTCAGGTCATGATCCCAGGGTCCCGGGATCGAGCCCCGCATCGGGATCCCTGCTCAGCAGGAGGCCTGCTTCTCCCTCTCCCACTCCCCCTGCTTGTTGTGTTCCCTCTCTCCCTGTGTCTCTGTCAAATAAATAAATAAAATCTTAAAAAAATAAAAAATAAAAAAAATTAAAATGTACTTCTCACGCACTTTCAAAAGAAGCTATTAGAAGTGTACTCTACCAAAAGAAAAGTGCAAGCTAAGTAAGATGATATAATAGGATACAGAAAACATGAGATCCAGCCAAGAAAGAGGCAAAGGCATCCATCAAAGAGAGCTTCCAGGATGACTGCTGGGCACCAGGTATCAAGGGTGTTCTGTCTAAATTACAGCCATGGGAGGGCGCCTGGGTGGCTCAGTTGGTTAAGCGACTGCCTTCGGCTCAGGTCATGATCCTGGAGTCCCGGGATCGAGTCCCGCATCGGGCTCCCTGCTCGGCAGGGAGTCTGCTTCTCCCTCTGACCCTCCTCCCTCTCATGCTCTCTGTCTCTCATTCTCTCTCTCTCAAATAAAAAAAAAAAAAAAAAAAATCTTAATAAATTACAGCCATGTGATTCACAGGCCAGATGTGCTGAAGACTATCATCAAAATCCCCAATGCCACGGTACCATTTTATTGACCTGAGGACACTTTGCCCATGTGTCCCTGACCCAAATTCTCATTTGCACTTGGCTTGTTTAGACGAAGTAATAATGAAGTTCCTACTCTTCCCTCCATCCCCATTCCCTGCTACCTAGATCAGCTGAGGTCTCTCATTTCACACCACAAAATGCTCTGCTTTGACCTACTCCTAAAACTTTGAGGTGGATCATAGTAAGCTTGGAAGCAAAAAAACACATAGTAACTCATCCCCTCTAACCATATACCTGGCCAAGGCCCACCACCGGGCCCATACTTCTGCCCTGCCTGAAGTCCTGTGTGAAGCCCTGTTTCCCAGGACCTTGCCCACTGACTACCCCAGGATTCTTGTCAACTCCCAGGGAAGCAAGACAGGTTAGCCAGAGACTACCCAGTTTATATTGTCCTGGGAACTTTAAAAGTGGCAATTCTACTCTATCCTTACAATAACTAAATTTGTGCTTGCTACTAGTCTTTTCAAAAATGAAATCCTAAATGTTGTGGGACACAGCACTGTCCTATAACAATAAAGAAAAACAATGGAATAAGGACAGCAAAAACCCATTATCTTGGGGGGGCTTACAACCATGAAAGGCTAAAAAGTAGCCTTTTAGAGGTACTCATTAACATTCTATTCTTTAACTGTATAGTGGGAACAAAAGTGTTCATTTTACTACTATCCTTTACACTTTCACATATTTTATACATTCTTCTGTACAATACAGAACTGCTATGTTTGTGGAAGTTGTTCACTCTACAAGCGGGCTCACTAAGGAGGAAAGTAGGGCTGACATCCAGCCCACACTCTACTTCCTAAGACCTATGCGCTGGGGCAAGACTGTTTCTACCCCCACCCACAAAAGGGTACCTTCTCTTTGCAACGGGCTTGCCAAGCATGCCCCATAGCACTCCATCCATCTAGAGGTGGCACCTTTCCAAATTCACACTGCTCTATTTTTCTTTTCAAAGCAGTGATCCTCAAATTTTGATGTGCATATAAATGACCTAGGGAATCTTGTTATAATGAAGACCCTGATTCAGAAGGACTCGAAGAAAGGGGACCTATTACATTTCTAACGAGCTGTCAGCTAACACCTATGCTGCTGGTCCACAGCCCACGCTACAGTCACAGAATTTAGATTTATATTTTTTGCCTACCAAATCTAAGTAGAATATAGGTTTCAGGAGAGCAGGAACTTTGTCTCTTTTGTCCACTGTCATATCCCTGATGTTTGGAAGAGAACCTTGAACAGATTAAGTGTTCAATAAATATTTACCAAATTTAAAAAAAAAAAAGTTCACTTCCTTAGTAAAAATCAAAGTACTTAAAATATAATGGCTAAAACACATATGTCTGACTTCCAAACATTAAAATTACACCTTATTATTTAAAATGAAATCAAAATAACAATACTCAAATAAAAATTTAGAAAACATGTATTAGGGAAAAAAAGAAAATACGTATTTGAAAAAAAATTTAAAAATTTTAAATTCAAAAGAATCTATACTAAGTTACCCCAATATCTCTGGCTATCCTCCCCAATTTTTTTTTTAAGATTTTATTTATTTATTTGACAGAGAGAGATATAGCCAGAGAGGGAACACAAGCAGGGGGAGGGGGAGAGGGAGAAGCAGGCTCCCCACTGAGCAAGGAGCCCGATGTGGGGCTCGATCCAGGACCCTGGATCATGATCTGAGCCGAAGGCAGACGCCCACCCAGGCGCCACTATCCCCCCCCAATTAAACAAGCTATACAAAATTCCCTTCAGAATAACTGGTATAATTGACTCCTGGACAATTACCTGAGAAAGGTAACAGAGTTAAGTAGACTGGATAACAAAAGTAGATGCCTATTACCCCCCACCAGAAACAGGCCTTCAAGGGAATTAAATATAAAACAAGTAAATTCAAATGAAATGTTAGTAATAAGAAAGTCATAAGCATGATATACTGCTTAGGGAGGACTGACCCAAAAAGGATGCTCAGAATTGCATTCTTGGCAAGAAAATGGCAATATGAAGCCAAAAAGTAGAAAGGTAAAATCTACCCAACAACCTTCTCAATGAATATCAATATTTACAACAGAGTAGGAACAATTTTTATTCTTCCAGAAAAAAAAGAAATAAAGATTTTAAAAATTGTTACTGGTATAAGAAAAAATGGACCAAGAAATTCAGTTATAATAAAAATCTTCTGAACATACAATATTCTAGAATAACATGATGAATTAATAAAAAAAAAAAATGTCACCTTTCCCCTTCGTCCATTTCCTCCATCCTGATCTTCCCACTGCCAGTCCACTCCTCGTACCACTCTGGCACCTGCAAAGATCCCTCTGGCTGTAATCTTCTTAGATTTTCTACGAGACTCTAACAGAACCCTAAAAATAAAAGTATTTATTTTTAAATTATATAAAAGTGGGTTAAGGGATGCCTGGGTGGCTTAGTTGGTTAAGCGTCTGCCTTCGGCTCAAGTCATAATCCCAGGGTCCTGGGATCGAGTCCCACATCCAACTCCTTGCTCAGCGGGAAGCCTGCTTCTCCCTCTGCCTGCCGCTCCCCCCACTGCTTGTGCTCTGTCTCTCTCTGACAAATAAATAAATAAAATCTTTAAAAAAAAAAACAAAAAAAAGTGGGTTAACAGTAATTTATTTATATATGTGTAAATTTTTTTTGAGAGAGTGAGGGTGGTGGGGGGGATGATGATCCCAGCAGGCTCCACACCCAGTACAGAGCCCAATGCCAGGCTTGATCTCACAACCCTGAGCTCAAGACCTGAGCTGAAATCACGGCTTGGATGCCTAACTGACCCAGGAATTTTTTTTTTACAATTTTTTAAATTCATTTTAGAGAGAAAGCAAGCAAGCACAGGGAGGGGCAGAGGGAGAGGGAGAGAATCTCAAGCAGACTCCCCACTGAGCATGGAGCCTGACCCAGGGCTCAATCCCATGACCCTGAGATCATGACCTAAGCAAAAACCAAGAGTCAGACGCTCAACTGAGCCACCCAGGCACCCCAATTTATTTTTAAAAATAAAATAAAAAAGGTTATTTTTAAAAATATAAAAGATTTTTCTTTGTTCCAGTTAATACCTTAATAGCATGACACATAAATACCTTTACTTTCCACAGGTGATGATGATGACAGTAGTAGTTAGAAAAATAATAATATCTAATATTTACTGAGCTTTTACTATAAGTAAAGCACTCACAAAAGTATAAAAGTCTATTACACTCCTTAAGAGAAGGTATTGTTATATTTTATTCATTTTACAAATGAGGAAACAGAGTCTCAAAGAGGTAAGTGATTTATCCAGGGTCACAAAAGCTAAATAATAATGGAATGGAATCAACATATGAATCCAATCTAACCACTTCAGAGTATCACTATATCCTTCACCACTTTATAAGTGGCAAACTCAAATCCCTACAACTGCCAGAGAAGTAACATAAATTAAGGCCAAAAAGGTAACACCACAGCAATGACAAATGGCAACAAGCAGCACTTGACCCCAGGCTCAGGAAGACAAGAGGCAGTGGTAGGGACTTTGGTGAATTCAAGACCATGATTTGTCTAAAGGATACAGATGCTCCTCTGTCAGCCAACTGTTACCATGATCAAATGCCCAGTGGGCTGACAGTCTTTGGGTATGTGTGTGTGTGCACGCGCAGACGTGGGTGTTCAAAAATTCAAAACACAGTATGGGCCAAATAAAATACATTGGTGTTGACCTAACACTAACTTGTCTCCAAAGTATTCAAGTATCCTTACGGAGGACTATGGACCTTGAAAAAAAATCTACACTCAACAATCTGGACCAGCTTGGTTCTCCAAGGCCATCTTTCCCTTATTCTTCTATATCCTTCTCATTCATAAAATCAAAAAGGTTTGGGTTTTTCCTTTTGTTTTGCTAATTTTACCTCATTATTCTACTCATTTTTAGAATATCTTTATTATACCCTAACTTCAAAAATTGTAAGCAAAAAGACAAGAATAAACAACTTGTTCAAAACTACTCAGTTAATAAAAGGCAGGACCAGGATTTGAAGTGGCACGGTCTTTTTTTTTTTTTTTAAGATTTTATTTATTTATTTGACAGAGCGAGAGAGAAAGAAAGACAGCACAAGCAGGGGAAGCAGCAGAGGGAGAGGGAGAAGCAGGCTCCCCACCAAGCAGAGAGCCCAACACGGGGCTCGATCCCAGGACCCTGGGTTCATGACCTGAGCCGAAGGCAGACGCTTAACCAACTGAGCCACCCAGGTGTCCCTAAACTGGGACAGTCTTATACCTAAATCCATTCTTCTACTACTCCTGCTGCCTCCCTATGACTGGCTAGATTCTTGCTCCTATACATTATTCCCATCTATCTACAAAAGAAGATTTAATCACCTGAAACTCTGTACCAATTCACAATTAATATTCCTCTCTCTTTGCTAAGACACTTCATATTCTCTATATACAGTCTAAAACATCACATGATAATCACTACTGGTCAAATAATCCCTTAGCCTATAAATTCTTTAAGAGGAAAAAAAAAAGAATACTGTGCTTTAAGGGCACCTTAAGGGCTCAGTTGGTTGAGCATCCAACTCTTGATTTCAGCTCAGGTCATGATCTCAAGGTCATGAGTTTGAGCCCCGAGTCAGGCTCCACACTCAGCAGGGAGTCTGCTTGAGATTCTCTCTCTCCCTCTCCCTCTGCCCCTTCCCCTGCTTACTCTCTCACTCTCTCTCTCGCCAATAAATAAATCTTTAAAAAAAAAAAGAATACTGTTTTAGTTATCTTCAAATTTACACAAGCATAATAGCTGCTACATAGTCTTAATAAAGGCCTGTTGATTCAATCAATGGGCCCTAGTGTTCATCTGGTAGCGATTAACAGAACAGAACGCACAGTAAGAAGAAAATAGTAAGCCTCTCTTGGGCCGCCCTTGCTTTTCCAAATATTGAGGAGTGCCAAGTCTCCATGCCAGAGAAAGAATAGCCCAGATTATCTTGAAAAAATACGTACAGCTCCATCTTCACAGAGCTTTTTTCTCACTATATGGCAGGCCTGGTCCACATCTAGGCTATTATCTCCTATGTCCTGGTACTAAGCCAGCTGTCAGAAGCTATTTCCAAATCCTATTTTTAAGGCTGAATAGTATAAAAAATTGAATGCCAACAAGGAATTACAACTGAAGAAAAATTGTTTACCCTACCGCTCACTTCCTGGTGTAGTAATTCTATAAAAGCGATGTCTTAAATGATGTTTATCTCCATGATAACACACAGTGCACAAATCATAATTTGTACATTCTGCACATTTCCATCGAATGCCAATGATTGGTTGCTGGCGGCAGGTATCACACATGGTTCCATCATGCTTGATGCCTATTAAAACAAAGATACATGCTTACATTAACTATAAGTATTATTTACTTGAATACTATTCCCTGGGGGAAAAATAAGAACAGCATTTTACAAAGTAATTCAATAAAGTAGGAAAGAGTATTTCAAATGTACCATATATAGTTTCAAGACAACATGTTTCAAGTATTTTAATCAGTACAAATTATAAACTAAACATTTTCTATCATTTTTTTCTTCATTAGTAACACATCAGCACTTTTTTTGCTGTCATCCACAAACTGAAACTTAGGTTCAATCTAGTGACAGAAAAAAGAATCATTTACTACCAAGTAGATGTTTCAGACTTCAAACACTCAGAATCTTTTGAGGAATTTCAACCTATTCTCCAGGTAAACAATTACTCTAAAAGAAAAAACAAGTTTAGCCTCATGTTAGCCTCATGATATCATAGAAACAAACTATCAATTAATTTAAGCATCTATCCCTAAGTATTGACAAACTCCCCACCCCAAACAACAAACTTTAGGAAAGGATTACCAAATCAGTTTCTCAGTGTAAAAGGAAACAATATACTATAGTCAGGATGTTCCTTTGTTTTCCTTACAGAACAAGAAAAAAGAATGGAAAAAGGAAATAAGCATTTGGCAATATGACCTCCACCAAAAATGATGACATGAATGACATAGACAATTAGAACTATAAAAGGGGGGTGCCTGGGTGGCTCAATCAGTTAAGTGTCTGCCTTTGGCTCTGGTCACGGTCACAATCCCATCAGGCTCCCTGCTCAGCGGGGAGCCTGCTTCTCCCTCTTCCTCTGCCCCTCCCCACCCCCCCTCCACTCGTGCCCCCTCTCTCTCTCTCCCGAATAAATAAAATCTTAAAAAAAAAAAAAACTATAAAAGGTACCACTATAAAATAATGAAAATAACTAACATTTTTGTGTAACAAGATTGGGGATAATGTTCCTTTACTATCCTATTTAGATCACTTGATAAATTAAAACTAGGAAAAAAAAAGTTTTTTGAACCATGTGGGACCTGTGAACATCAGTGTCACTACTTTATGGTAATGGATGGTCAAGCCCAATACTGAATTACAAGCAAGGGTTGTATTGTCCATTCAACACTAACACTCCTGGATTTGAGTTCTGGCTTTCACTAGCTATTATTGTGCCCCTGAATGAGTCATTTTAACTGAAGTATTTATACATAAAATAATAGTATTTATTTCAAGAAAATGGGGGAGCAGAGAAGTAAGGTGGGGTTTAAATGAAACAAGATTGCTTGTGGTGAAGGGGGGTAATAGGGATGTTCATTACATAATTCTCTATTTTGTGAGTTTAGAATTTTCCATAATTAAATAAAAGGAGTCACTTTAGTTCTCAGAACTTCAGTTCCCTTTGGAGGAGGCATTATGTTCTTTAAAGGAAGGGCTGTTCTGTGGTGCCTGGGTGGCTCAGTCATTAAGCATCTGCCTTCAGCTCATGATCCCAAAGGTCATGATCCCAAAGTCCTGGGATCGAACCCTGCATCAGGCTCCCTGCTCAGCAGGAAGCCTGCTTCTCCCTCTCCCACTCCCCCTGCTTGTGTTCCCTCTCTAGCTGTGTCTCTCTGTCAAATAAATACATAAAATCTTTTAAAAAAAAAAAAAAAAGGTAAGGGCTGTTCTAAGAATCAAGTAAGAATGTGCTAAATACCCGAGAACTAGAGCACAAAAGTAGTAAAGTTAATACTAAACTCTAGAAGAACTGATACACTATTACTGCTTCCTGATAAGGGGGTAAAAAAAAACCCTGTATAATTAATTTTCTATATTCAAGTTTAAAATCCCATAAGGTAACTAGATTCTAAATAAAGAGCCAAACATGAAGATAAACTTGTGCCTGAGCTGAAATGGTAAATAAAAAGGGGATAGAAGAAAATTAAAAGGAAGTTGGATGCCTAGTAAAGTACAAAAGAGCATGACACCCAACACCAAATACGTTTCATGTGCAATCCTTCCGCAGTCTCCTGCCACACAAATGCTTGATCGCAGGGACAGGGAAGATGGCAGACATCAGTACCTACTGATTTCATTCAGTAACTATTTTACTGCTACTGTGGGCAGGTCCTCTGCTGCTTTCAAGTGTCATCCCTGGTGTAGTATGGATAACAGAAAGGAAGAAAATTAAAGTGGCTAGAGAAAAGGGGTCAAATTGTAAGAAGTTTACACAACAGTCCAAGTGAAAATAATGGTACTTTAAGCCAGGATAAAGCTAGTAGAATTGGAGAGAAAACATTCAGGAGAGATTTAGGACTTGGTGGCTATGGGTTAGAAAACAAAGATGTAGAAAGTAACCAAAGAAAGTATAAATGAGATCATTCAAGAGAAAACAAAGAGATAAGAGATATTTAGGAACAAACAGTATAATAACTGAAAACTAGAACTGCTCTACTTAAAAAAAAGAGCCATTAACCAAAAAAAAAAAAAAAAGCACATACTCAAAATTGCAAGTCCAGGGACACCTGGGTAGCTCAGTCAGCTAAGCATCTGCCTTCAGCTCGGGTCATGATCCCAGGGCCCAGGGATCCAGTCCCTCATCGGGCTCCCTGCTCAGTGTGGAGCCTGCTTCTCCCTCTCCCTCTGCTGCTCCCTCTGTTTGTGCTCTCCCACTCTCTCTGACAAATAAATAAATAAAATCTTTAAAAAAAAAAATTGCAAGTCCAGGCCTCTTAATAGATACTCATCTAAGAAACAAAATGAAAAAGGAATCAGGACAACTTTCCTAGAAATACTGGATGAATAGACCTTTCAAATGAAGAAAGAAGAAATCTCAGAAGAGCACAGTGTGTATTCAGAGAACCAGGAGCAGCTTCATTTGCTTGGCAGGAATTTGAAATACTGTCAGAGACTTAGAGATAAATTATAGTCACACTGGGAAATAACAAGATAAGACATGATTTCTGACTTGCAGATTTAAATTGTTGCATTAAATGGTAAAAACAAGAGTATTTGATTAAAGAAACTAGTTCTCTAACTTACTAGCTAGGTAATGTTCAGAATTAATTTAAACTACTACTCAGGGATCAATATTCTCATTTATAAAATGAGAAAATATTTCCTTTCATGTGTGTTATAGGCTGAATATATTCCCCTCCCCCTAAAATTCATATGTTGTAGCCCTAACTCTCCATGTGCTGATATTTGGAGACGAGACCTATGAGGTAACTAGGTGTAGAAGAGGTAATGACGGTGGGGCCTCCATAATGAGATTAGTATTCTTAAGAGAGAGAGCTAAGAGGTCTCCCACTCTCTGCCACATGAGGACACAGCCAGAAGGCAACAAGCCAGGAAGAGTCCTCACCAAGAAACCTGAATTAGCCAGACCTTGCTCTTAGACTGTCCAATCTCCAGAGAACTACAAGAAATAAATTCCTGTTGTTAAACCACCCACTCTATGGTAGTTTGTTATGGCAGCCCAAGCAGACAAAGATAATATAGAACCTTGTGATGCTGAAGTGATATATAGAGGTAAAAACACTTTGGAAGGCTTTAAAACAAAATGCAAATATAAAGAATTATACTGCACTTAATTTAATCTTAATACAGATTTATTAAATGTACTAATCACCTATTTAAATAACTTGGTGATCAAAATCATCATATATCCCAAGCAAATCTGGCAACTTATACAGAAAATCAAAGAACTTTTAAATTCTCAATTTCCCAGAGAGTACAAATAGGGAACATTCAATTACTCATGCATGGATTACCCCTATTTTAGCAAATTACCTACCTTCTCCATGGCAATTCTCTCATTACTGTTTTATGTCAGGTTTTCCCCCAAAGCTTATGATTTACCTGCAGCTATGTCTGTCTTCTCAGTTCCTCTTAAATGTTTTCACTCCAGCACAGCAACAGCAGACACAACTGCCATGCAAGATAGTCCTAAAAACCAGCAGATAATCCACTACTTCTCAACAGTTGATAATGATGTATTCTATCCTATGGCTAATTAAGTCTGACTGCATGAATCATGAAAATTATAATCGGCCATAAGCCCCCCCAAAATTATATTCTAAACAGAATGTATACGAAAATTAAAAACCACAGATTTAAAGCCATAAAACTCAAAGCTACTATCATTCACTAGTATTACATGCTTCAGTCATTTAGAATATAAATTAAAAGGCAAAATGTAACCTTTATCTATTCTTTTTTGAGAATATACATGAATTCACAGGAAAAAAAAAGTGTTTTTTTTTTAATCACATAAGGATTTTTTTTTAAAGGCCAAATAATCCATAAACTGGGTACTCATCTCTTGGGTTACTAAGAATTTGCTATATTTTACTTTAAATCAGTATGTAATCAATTCTTTATAATGTTCATTTTGAAAAAAATCTGCAATTATTCCTGTAGCTATTATTTCCCAACACAAATAGGAAATGTTTACAAAGTTAAGAAATTATTCTAGCTCACACAAAGATATTTTTTAAAGTAAATTCTAAAACCAATCAACAGATAAAAGATTTTGAAGAACTGGGGTGCCTGAGTGGCTCAGTTGTTAAGCTTCTCCCTTTGGCTCAGGTCATGATCCCAGCGTCCTGTGATCAAGCCCCACATCCGGCTCCCTGCTCGGCGGAAAGCCTCTTCTCCCTCTCCCACTCCCCCGACTTGTGTTCCCTCTCTTGCTATCTCTCTCTGTCAAATAAATAAATAAAATCTTTAAAAAAAAAAAGATTTTGAAGAACTATCATAACATAATGCCTGATGTAGGACTATTAAACCGAATTTTAAATTTTTGTACAACTGCAACTTATAATAAGAAATAGCAAATCACAATATAAGTTTTTTAAAAATTCACAGGTTTTAATAATGAAATACAGGTATATCCCTGCTCTATATGTACATTTTATACCAGTTAGATTCCTGAAAAACTGAGTATATATTTACAGTGGAGGAAAGGTGTGGCAGACTGTATTTTCCAAAGGGGGCCACACCAATATATATCCATCTTAATTGCTCTTTTGACAATGTGA